GATCTCTGTCAAAGTCCGTCATTACTCTTTGCTGAACTGTGTGTAGTTCAAGAGAAGAGCTTTTCTTTCAGAGGCAGTTATGTCATTACAGCTTAAGGTTTTCCTCATTTAACCAGGACCAGAAACCAAAGTTTAGCTGACTTACATTCCCTCAAGTCCAATTCCTGCAATATACTGTAGTTTTCTTCTTCCACATGCCCACATCACTTATGTCATCAATGTTTCATAGCATTATGACTCACGATTAACATTTTTCTATGAGTGAAGCCTTAAATGTTGAAACTGAAAGTACTGCATACATTTTGTAAGAAAAGTGGAGCCTAGAAGGTGTCCGTTGTTGGAATTTATGCACTATGGAGTCATCAGAAAGCTCAGAAAGTATAGATGAAAATAAATAAACTACACTTGCAACCCTGGACACAAGCATTTCAGCTAGCAGGCTATAAACAGCCAAATGCTACAATAAATCAGTGTTTAGTCCTGCATTCCACTGATGGAAGCAGCAATGCACTCTTGGTTAAACATGGGTTGAAAATACTGTCTTTCTCCCACTCTTTGTCTTTCACGCACACTCAAACACACATAAACAAAAACACAAGCAGCCAGCCTTCGACACCCGACTGGTCCACAATGTTCCTCAGAGTTATTTCTGTCTTCAGGACAAAGAGTTTTACCTCTTACTGAAAGATGACAGAGTGTGTGTTGGAGAGTTTGTTTGAGTGTGTGTGTGTGTGTGTGTATGTGTATGAGTGTTTTGGCAGGATAATTAGACCTTGTGCTTTGCTCCCTGAGAGTTTTTTAACCACAGGGCTGAGCCATAATGAATCTACACTGTCACGGACACTAGACTGAGACACACACGCATGCACACGCACACGCACACACACACACAAAATCCTCTGCTGGGGACTGACACAATGTCAGACAGAATTAAGCAACAATAACAGAAATAACCCCCGGTAGTTGCCAGATAGAGAACAATGGGCTCCGGGCCCAAGCCGGGCTCTGCTACCTCGGTGTCTAAACACTGAGCCCGGTCGCCCAGTCCACTCCACTTCCTGCTCGATAAACACAAGGAAAACAGCCGGCTGCCTTTCCTGAGGACACAGGGGGAAGGGAAGAGAGGCACACTGGAGGACATGACGCTGGAGGAGAGGAATCTCACTGACGGACCAACACACTGATGGGCTCTTACGTAGGACCAGACATGAGGCTGGTGCTGACTCAGGCCAAAGAACAAGTTTAGTTCCAGTGTCCGGCAGATATACACTGTCATGGATTTCAACATTTTATTTTGCACAAAACATCACCTCAAGGGTTTATTGCTGGGCCCAGTCCCATAACCACTTTTCTACTTTGAGAAATTCATAATCACTTTATTTCCTTAATTTTAATTATTCTTACTAATTAACAAAGTTAACCACAAAACCAAAAAGATGGCCAAAGAGAACATATGGTCAGGATCAAAGAAAAACTGACCACTGAAGTCAAATAACAAAATTTTTTAAGGAGGCAACTGTGAAAATGTGTCAATAACATAACAGATATAACAGATAGCAATACAACAACAGCCATGAAACAAACTGATGTAACTCCAGGTCTACCTATTGCTACCTATACTTTCTGTCCTGCAGGACTGATCACTCATCACAGCTCCACTGTTGCAAGAGCCAAAATGGTTTCTTTCTAAATGTTAACAATAGGATCAATATTTATATAATAGAGTTTGACTGGAGGAAGCTGATGGAAAATCATTGCTGCTACTGGAGAGCTGACTAAAAATAAACATCAATACGGTTGTTTTCTGCGCAAGTATGAAATAAATTCCATGCCTCAAGATAATGTGACCGTTGAGGAGCATAAAATGCCACAACACAAGGTTCCTGCAGACAAGAGGAAAGCCTAGTCTCAAGGCATTTAAGCTTCTCATTCAATCCAGCGACAGCTCTATTACTAGACAGCAGTTCATACCAACCTATAATACTACTATCACACCTTATACCACTTTAAACCGCCCAAATCCCATAGCTTAGCACCCATCTGACTCTTTCCAGATTCTGATTCTAATATCAATACTATAATAATCTGCCAATACAGATTCCCAATCAAGGACCAGTGGTGTATTTTTCCTAAATTTAAAATCTGACTGCATGAAACTCCCAAGGAACATTATCATTTCAGGAAACACAAGGACAGAGATTGCTGTGGCACTAAAAACTCCTGCAGCCCTCTGTGACTGAACAAAAATAAATTGACATTGATGAAGAAAATATTTAATATGGATCAGTCATGTCAATATCAGATCTGCCCAAACACTGATCCTCTGGAGCGTAGCATCCCTGACGATAATGCCGAGATGACAGCTCCAAGCTCTCATCACAAAAAATGTGAAAAACACAAAAAAAAGAGATGCTGAATTTTGGCATTACATACAGCGGCTCTTATACACGTCTTTCAAATTGATCATGAACCAAATTTTCTACAAATGAAATATTTGTGGCATGATGCATGTACCATGACATTACATGTTATATTAAAAATGAACAAGTGTGACCGTCCTGGCCCACCTGCTAGGAAAAGGCTACAACCACTACTGCAACTCACTGTGACCTTACAGAGGTCTGCCACTACGAGCAGACTCCCTTGTGATCTTCCACAGAGGTTGAAAGGAGCATTTGTTCCAGACGTTTGTGTTTCTTAAACCCGTGAGATTAAGGTTGAAGTCAGCTGATGTCTGTGACCCAACGGCAGCCTCAGTGTGGCTTTCAAACAGTACCCAGAATAAAAGGATCAAACCTGCCCGTTTTATCACATTCATTCTACTCTTGCATAAAATGGAAAAGGTAACACCTTCTTTGCTCTTATCTCAGAGAAATGAAATAATGTGGAGGTGCTGAAAATACGTTTCTTATGTCTTGTATCCTCACACCAGAAATGCATCCGTTTTATGACTTTAAAGCAATTTGGCTGCGACTTTAGTGTGAATAGCTGGCAGAAAATCAATTGGACGGTTTCTCGAGCAACATTTAGTATAACACATAGCAGAAATAATTACTGTAAATGTACACAATTACTGGAGCCCCACGTGCAGAAACAGGGCATGCAGCAGTCTAATCAAGACGCTATGATGTCAAAATCTATTTCTTCTCCATTGTCTGTATTCGTGGGTGGAAGTGCGTTTGATGTTATGGACAAAACAGGATGTAATTACCTCATATAAATAAAGAGGAGCAAGTTTAGACTGGAGGGGACGGTATGGTCCCGTACATGAATGCATTTATGTACATAACTGAAGGTGTAGAAATGTATTTGAAAAATGCCACCGTCTCCACAGATCAAAGCTACATCCACACATACAGACATTATAGTCATCAATGGGTCCTCTTCCTCCCAGACTGGGCTACTGCTCAGACGGGAAAAAGGGGTTGTAGAGGAGTCCACCCAGCGGACATAACCAAAGGAAAACAGGATACAGCTGGTCAGAACTGAGCGCCAGAGCCAACATAGCTGAGAACCAAGGCTTATATTCTATAAGAAGCGTTTTAGGGGGCTAAAATGTAGCGTAAAGCACGTTTTCAACCTGCTACTGATTGTGTTAAATAAAGAAATTCAATTAAGTTTCCATTTACGACTTCAAACATGAATACACAAAACACATTTATTGATTTAAAGAGGTCTACTGGAACACTCAATCACGTAGAGCTATAACATTTCTGTTATTGTCAATCGTCTAGATTATTTTCTGCTGACACGAAAATTGTTATGTCCGACAAATTCAAATATTTAGATTACTGACAGAGACAGATAGATAGACAGATAGATAGATACTTTATTTATTCTGAGGGAAATATACGTAAAACTCAGCACATATTTGCATTTTAGAAGCAGCTATCAGCACATATTTCCTTTAAAATGTGAAAAAATTTAAAAAGTTGATTGACTAATGGATTGACTGATTGATCCAAACCAAAAACCACCATCATATGAACTCAATGCCAGACTGATAAGACCTATTGCTTGACATACTTTTAGAAATCCTACTGAAAAATCTTTAAAAACTGCCGACCACATCCACATTTATTTCTATAAGTAACAGTTTATAGAAGTCACCTCATTGAGGTGTGTGAAATTTAGACTTACTGTTGCGTGTGCCGTTGTCCCAGTCCCAGGCCTCTACAATCAACGTGTATGTCCGCTGGAGGGAAAGGAAAAAAGAGATAAGTCAGGTGAAATTTGGACAAAATATAATCTTCCTCCTTAGTGTTCAACACAAGGCGTAAGACCTTGCTCATTTCTGTAAGGTGAAATGAGCAATCAGACTGCTGCCCACATGCCGATTTCTTCTGACTAACACCAGTCTGCATCAGCAATGCTTTAGCCATAGGTGAAGTCGGATAAAAAAAAAAGCTGTGTTCATATGCTGTTGCAGGGCAATGCTCCCAAACAAAATGAGGAAATATAATCACTCTAAGATTAAAAACCAATGCAATTCCAGTAAATGATGTCTCAAGTTGCCCATAGAGACAATGCAGCTCAGTCACAGCTCAAATCCAACATTTCCATTTCATGTGACCCGAGCACCGTAATGCTAGAGATAAATGTATGCATTTCACTGGCACACATAGAAAATAGAATAGATCCAAGATAAAGGCCTCTGAATGTAAAAAAAAAAAAAAATGAGTTTGACAGTGAATATTTTATTGTAGGCCAAATTTGCCAAATCTCATAATTACTGCTATGATGGCTACATGATGCCTCTTCTACTCTCAGCTATGAAACAGGAACATTTAACAGAAGGCCTTTGTTATTTAGTTCTCAAATTCACTGAGAAGTAAACACTATCAATAACGACAATAAGTTCATAATGTGGCAGAATAATGTGGATGATCATTTTAGCCAAAGTCATGCCACTCATCTGCAAGTATAAGCTCTCTTTCTCTCCCTCACACACGATGCAAAAATCGATTTTATTGCTACTACAGAGTCTCATATGCAACTTGGCCACGCTGCCTGGAGGTGCGCTTGAGTTACGCTGCCAATGAAACCCAATGATTCATAGAGATAAGAGAGAAAGGTATGGTACAACTGTGGGAAGAAGCCAAGAAAAGCTGTAGGACTAAGATGTGCTTAGGAAAAGGACACAAGAGAACAGCAAACTGCCTGGACTGTACCAACTTTACTCTGGCCCAGTGTGCAATGTGATTGTATGAACCTCCATGTACCACTGCTGGCTCATCAGTGTAGCTTTGCAGCTGTGATACAAAAAAATCCTGAGAACAAAAGGCATGGAAGCCACAGCTTTGAGATGTGTCATGGAGTTCAACTGGGGAAAAGGCCACCAGTACAAAAAGACAGTCACGATAAAGGTGCAAGTGAGCCAAAAAAAAGGTATGAACATGGAGAATGGGTAACTACAAGCATGCTCAGGTTTTGCTGAATCACACCACCACATGATTTCACAATGTAGATTGTCCCTCTGCGGTGTGGTGCTCAATGGCACATGGCTGATGTTTCTGTTAGACTCATCTGGCTGTAAAACTACTGTTGATTTACAGGAATTCAAATTAGTCGGTTATTGTGATCGAACAGTTATTATTTGGATTTGTTAGCTAGTTTTAGGACTGGGTGATATAGGAAAAAAAATACAATCTAGATAGAAAAACTAAGCTATAATTTAAACATGTTTTTACGACTACATGGGGCCTCTTGCGTTCTTTAGAGTTTTACAGCCACTGAAGCTTTACACTTTGAAGCAATGGGTTTCAGTTGGTTGCAATCTGTAATCTGACTGCTAGAAGCCACTAAACACTACACACTGGACCTTGATATCTTTATTGTTCATTGTTCCTTATAGTAGGAATATCTCCACATTTTAAGGAAATGCTCTAATTCACATTCTTGCTGTCAGTTAGATGATGCTATCGACCTTCTCATCCAACTCACAGCAAGATGAGAAGGTCGATACCAATCTCATGCCTTCGAGCTAAATAGGAAGCTAGAGCCAGGAGGCAGATAGCTCAGCTTGAAGACTGGAAGCAAAGAGAAAACTGCTAGTTTGGCTCAGTCCAAAGGTTAAAAAAAAAAAAAATCCACCCACCCGCACCTCCAACTAATTGACATTATATTACATTTGTTTAATCTATACCAAAAAACTAAGTATAAACAAAAGTTGTGGTTTTAGATTGTGTATGGGACTTTTTCTTGACTGGTAGCAGTGGCTGCCTGGAGTCTCTGCTGGTTGCGTGGCAACCTCATGTGACAAAACCACAACTTTTCATGTTATTGAAAGCAAATAAGCATATTTCCCAAGTATATCCTTGGCATACATCTATTAATGATAACTAGACAATGAATGCTACTAACTGGTTAATCTTTTGCATTAACATCGCAGTAGTTAAAAATATGTCATTGTTGGCTACAGTAGATTATGGTTCTCAAGCCTGACCACTGAAACCCACTGGGGCATTTTTTTCTGTGTCTCCTAATCAGTCTCAGCTTTCCTCTAACACAATCAATATTTAAAACAAAAAAAGGAATATAAAGAAAGGCAGGTATTCCTCAAACCATGTTTTTAAGAAAAGTAAACCCTCGGCAGGCATGATGTCCATTAAGAAGGTCACTTTGCCAATATTAGCTGTGCGAGACAAACTCTGCCTGGCTTTGTCCTTGGTTGTCAGACACTGAGGTAAATCAGCAGCTAAGGGGATTATCTTGTTTTACACCAAGTTATGCTTTACAGTTGCCCAGTATAACAGTGGTAGGTTTATTTTATAATGAAATCATTAGTTTGATTATTGGATTGACAAAAAATTAAATGAACAACACAGTTGATAATCTATTACTGCTTTAAGGCATTTGATAAGTAAAATGCCTAACATTTTTTCAAGTTTCTCATGTGAGGCATATATGTGATAAAACGGGTTTACACACCACCACATGATTTCACAATAGATTGTCCCTCTGCGGTCTGGTGCTCAATGGCACATGGCTGCTGTTTCTGTTACTCATCTGGCTGTAAAATTACTGCTGATTACACACATGTGTATGTGTGTGTATGTATATATATATAAAAAAATAATATAAAAAAATAATATAAATATATTATCATATTTGGGTGTATTTGGTTTTGGACTGTTGGTTAAAGATGTCATCTTGAGCTCTGGTGAAATGGGATTTTTCACTATTTTCTGACTTATTGTGGCCTAAACTATGAATAAAAACAAAGAAATGTTAAAATGGGAATAAAGTTCCAGCCTTAGTTTTACCTGGGATCACCACTACTGCATTGTACCATCACCAGCACTCCAAATACAGCAAATCTGCTTTATTTTTGACTGACAACGGTGTGAGTAAACATGAGCAAACTCACAGATGGAAACTAACCAAGCTAACCAGCATCACAGGAGTAATCTAGCTGGTGTGCTGCAGGGCACACTGCTAGGCAACCAGCTGACCTAAATAACACTCATTACGTCACCACCAGTGACAGTTGTAGTAGCCACAGTATGACTGCTGTGACCTCTACTGTAATGTCATTGATAGGACGTTGGCCTGCGGGGGGTGGTACAAAAAAAAGCATAAGGCAAGTATTCGAGGGACTTGTGGTTGTTTCAATGAAGCGGGAAAGAGAGATCACAGGGAGGGGGATTGGAAAATGTGTGTGTGTGTGTGT